CCACTGGGAGAAGAGTATGCAATGTGTTAATTATTGAAACTGTCCTACCAATTTGATTTGAAATTGTCTCATTGCTGTTTGTTTCTCAATAAAATTATGGAAAAAACAATGCCATGATGAACATAATCCCTTTAAGATACTGAACTTATTTTCTTTGAATATATGCCAGAGGTGGGACCAATGCTGTAGTTCTAGTGTTAAAGTTTTAGGAACCTCTCTGTTTCCTTTAATGATGGTCGCAGTTCACGTTTTCTCCAACGATGCACATGGAAGTCCCTTTCTCCACACCCTCACTATCCCTGTGACTACTGACTCTTGGATCACTGCCACTTGTCAGCTGTGAGGTGGTGTTTCTTTGTGGTTTTGCTTTGAATGTGCCTGAGGATTGGAGATGTTGACATGACCTTGTCATACACATGCTGGCCATTTTCATGTCCTCTTTGGGAAAATAATGTGTGGAGATCTTTTGCCTATCTACCTTTTAATTAGATTATTTGTTTTTGCTACTCAGTTGTGTAGGTTTCATACTTTAGTTATTAATCCTGCTTTGGGTATATGGCTTGGCAATATTCTTTCCTGTTATGTGGGCTATATTTTCATTGCACTGACTGTTTCTTTGCTGTACTGGAAATGTTTAGTTCAGAGAAGCTTTGCTTGCTTATTTTTGCCTTTGTGCCTTGATTTTGGTGTCATATGTGAGAAATTATCATAGATAATATTAGTTTTTTGTCCCGTCTAGTCCTGAAAGTTAGCCCTACCATACATTTTGAGTTTCTTTTTAACTCACCAATCCTTTCCTGCTTAATCATCACTGCAAACAACATAGAACCTATTTTTCTGGAATGACTAGGAGCAACAGAAGAGCATGACGTTGTCAGCTCTACATTTTAGCTATTCCGTGAGTGTAAATGTTTGTGAGATAGTCTAGAACATTAGAGCGCTGTAATTATTTTGATTCACAAACATCAGGTGAGAGGCTGAGGAGATAGCTCAGCGGCATAAGTGCCTGCCCGGCAAGTGTAAAGTCTTGAGGTTCATCCCAAGTACAAAAAAAGATTTAAAAATAAAAGTTAAAGAAAACTCTTGAGAACTTCTAGAAAGACGGGCTCTGTCTAGCAGTCTCAACCCACACAGTATGGGAGGCGTGTTTCTTTATGCATGAGAAACTTCACAAGGAAGGAGAAACTGGTTTAGGAGAATGGGAAAAACGATGGAAGGGAAAAGCAAAATAAAAAAATACACATGTAGATATAAAACATAGCATATCTATGTTTCTGATTTCTCTCAGTTCATTGAAGGGATACATAGGAACTATACTCTTTGGCCGACTAGATGCTGATATCTTGTACTCTGAGTAACTGACTTGAATATAAGAATATGCAGTGTTGCATATGTTACAACAATGTTAACTGTTGTTACCATCTTATCTTTTTTTTGGAATTTTGTTGTTGTTTTTCTTTAAAATGAATATTAGAAAAAGAAACTAAGTTACTGAATGAAATTTGCATAATGCTTTTCCCATTAAAAAATGACGCTTAAAGTAATGACTTATATAAAATATTCTACAATCAGTTGCAGACTCTTCTGTTGAACTAAGTGGTTTTTGACTTCCATCACCTTCTCCCCACCATCCTCGGTAAATCAAAAGTGTAGTATACGCATTAATGCTCTTCATCCGGTGCTTAGAACTGAGAAGAACCGTGTAGGTGTTCTGGCCAGGCACTGCCGCCTCACACAGTTCAGTGAATCTTCCCAGACCACAGCCAGCGTGAGGATTCCGGGACTCTTGCTCTCAATCCAGAATAAAGATGGCACCCACCCTGTTGATCAGAAGCACAGAAGTGAGACGGGCTGTCAGTTGGGGGACCTCTTTTCATGTGGCAGCAAACGTTTTTACAATTTGGATAAAGAAGAAATTTTATGTAGACCTATCCATTTGATGCTTGATTTTAAAATTCCTGCTCTTAGACCAGAACGTGAATAAGAAACATCATCACTTTTCAAGATTAAAAGGAAGCCCACAGAAAGTTATTATGTCAGAGAAACTGAGCCACAGCCACTGACCAAAACACAATTTAGTACTGAAAAGCAGTAAGACCCACATAAGTGCAAATGCAACGTGTAGTGTCCAGGCTCCTAGGTAAATTATCAGTGCACTCCTGTGGCCTGGGATGAGCATATATAAGGCAGACACAATGTCTACTTCTTAATGTCATGGCTAGTAGGTAACAACGAGCTACATAAAGATATTTTGATATAAAAGATAAA